TTTTATTTAAAAAAGTTTATATTTTAATATTATTTATAATTATTAATTGTAGGAATTAAAAAAAATAAAATTTAATCTCAAGAGTTTTGGTATATAAGAATGTAAAGAGACAAACTTTAATTTTAAACATCATGAAAAAAATTTCTTATAAAATTTCTTAACAGGATGCGAGTCTTTTTATCAATTGTCCTGTTAACTCACATTTTACAAGTCATATATTTGCGTACAAATAACTTCGGCAAAGCCTTTACATTATTTTTAACGAATCCATCTTTAGAGACCTCCAAGGGAATTCATTATCCATGACTCTCTCCTGTAGAGATAAATCTCGTTTCCGGAAGTGTGCGAGTGTACTTCGATCCCGCTCATGGCGAGTCAGAACACGAGTACCGAAACGTCGAAATTGACTTACGTTAAAATTAGGTGGATCACTTCCCCGAGGACGTCTTGCTGAGTCCTGTAGAGAGGCGTCTCGGCGAGCTCGCAAATTGTCCTCAAAAGGCATTGCCTGCCGTTCCTCCAGCCGTGTCTGAAAAGTCAACATTGAATCTTATTTTGCAGCGCAGTTTTTTACGCTCTCAACTATATATTCCCCTTTATATTCCCCCTTTATATTCCCCCTTTATATTCCCCTTTTTATATTCCCCTAAAATTCTTTCTTATTCTAATCCAACGACGGAGTAATTTTATCAAAGCGTCGCATACCTGAACTGCAAATGTTGGTTTTTTTATGAAACAACTGCTTGTCACACAAATTTGCACAAAGTGCCTGCGTAAAGTCAAGTTATCTGTTGTCATGACGTTTTCAACAGAAGAAATAAAAAATCGTTTCATGTTTAACCTTATAAAAAAATATAATAGATAAATAAAATATTGCAACGTTAATTACTGGAAGTTTTTTTAAATTCACCATTGCCAACATGTTATGACTAAGAATATGACAAAAATATGAATCTGAATAATTATCTTTTAATTAATTTTTTGAAAACATTGCAATTATATTGCAATTATAAAAAAGGAATTACGTTCTATAATGCTACATTTTATAACGTAGCCTCTTGCCTCTTATCATTTTAGATTTAAAAGAAATTTAAATGAAAGAATTCTAATTTCTCAAGATTATTTTTCATACATATGAAATAATTCAAGATAAGATCAAATTGCGCTTTTCATCAATTTTTTTATTGTTATTATATGCAATTATTATCATTTCTCAGGGCGAATTTCTCGCCTATAACATACAGCCCTGCCGTGTGCTATTCTGCATCCCAGCGGAGTAATTGCCTTATGTCCCAATTAATTTATGTTCGAGTCGCCGTCTTTACCCCTGTCGCCCTTTGATCCTGCAGACGGCAACTCTCGCTTACGTAGAGCGAAGGCGCGAATGATATAGACCGAAGGGAGACGCCCTTTGTCGCTGAAAGTAGTTGCAGAGTTGACAGAATTTGCAACAATCTGAATCTGTTAACTGCCGTCACACTTTTATATACCTCTTTTAATTAAACATAGTAATTAATAGTAATTAACAATTAATAACAACTTCTAATGTTGCCAATTGCAATTATTTAAAAAAAATGACAAATATGTATATCCAAATCCATTTAAATATCTTCTTTGTTCATTTCTATTAATATAGATTTATAATTTATAATTAAAAGTAACTTATAATTAAAAGTAAGTCAAATTGAAATTAAAGATAACTTTAACTTCTAATTTAATTTACTTTTATTTTTTAATTTTAAAAGATATTTGAATATTAAATAATTCTTAATTTTGAGGTTCTTGCTGATTCATCATCTTGAATTATGATGTCAAAGAGGTGAGAAAACACATTAAAAATTGCAAGTTACATTAAAATAGAAATGTGTTTTGATAAAGTAATGTTTACATTATATCGAAAACTTTTCTTCTGCTTTGATCATTAATAAATAATTACGTATTTAAAAATAAATTATGTCAAGAAGAGACCCATAATTCAATTCTATATATATATATATATATATAGATAGAAGATAGAATAATAGATAATAGAATAATAGAATAAATTAATTTATATATATATATATATATATATATATATATATAGTATAGTAGATTATTATTTTATGTAGTAAGAGAAAAGTAGTATAGAATAATAAATATATATAGTATAATTATTATATATATATATATATATATATATATATATATATATGAGATTATTTATTGATTGACAGAGCAAAAGGAGAATTTTCGATATATTTTACAAATCTGTTCCTAATAATTCAAAGTCAATCTACACTTGATTGTAATAAATATTAATAAATTTACGACAAAATCTGTGACAAAGGTCATAAATACCGACAAAATAAATAAATTTCAATCAATTTTATCATTGATATCTATCATAAGTCCTCAACAAATATCACGTACCGTGCAAAGCGAAAAAGCGCAAAACGATTTCGGCATGAAAACGAGATTTCACGTTCAACTTTGCTACCGACAGTCATTTTTAACAATCTTGATATCGACTCCAAACACCGTTGAAACTCTGCCCAAACTGTGAATTAAACGATAAACGGCGCATAGTTTCCCCTTGACAGAAATATGATTTCAACAAGCGACCATTCGGCAGCGACCGATAGCGCAGCAGGGGAGCTAACATAAGTAAATTATTTAGAAGTACACTCGCTCGCGCATCTGCCGTGTTTACTGATTCATCAGGCAATTTCGTGCGGTAATGCGCGGCGTTTGTTCTTCCGATTCGAAATTCAAATCGCCTCTCGACTGCCCATTGTGCAAACTCGGCGCGGCGAGTAAAATTGCGCGTTTGTTCCCGAATCGCCCGTATGAAAGTGCGAACAAAAGGTGCGGAAAGAGAATAACGAGGAACGACAATTCGCTCGTTCGGCCAATCTCGATGGCGCTGTAAGTGTCGTACAAATTGAAACCGGCGGGGTTTCAATGATATATCCGCCGTCGGGAGCTTTGTCGGGGGGGGGGGGGGCCGTCTCTCCCTCGTTTCATTCACGACAAATTTAATTAATGCAAGCAGCCGAGCGAACGTCTCGATGTTTTCTCCGTAAACTTTCGCAGCCGAGAAAGCTGCGAAGGAGAGTGCCGTCTCTCTGCGGCAGGGATCTTTAAGAGGAGACATACGATAACGATTAGCACAACTTACTCATTCAGAAGATCCTCGATGGCGACGTAAGTTTCCTGTAAATCGAGATCCCTGATGTGTCTCGCGGGAATTATCGTCGGCTCGAACTGCGACAAGTTCCACGGTAGAACGAAGTTGAGTTGAAATCCCGAAGAGAAGGCGATGCCGCCCCTTTTCGTCATCGCCACCGGCATCGAGATACCGAAAGTAAACTGTCGAGCAAATGTTCCGAGATTACATCTCAAGAAAGGCATTCAAATTGCGAGGCAAGTGACGCAACAGTCCGAAAATGGATTATCTTTTTTTAATAGTCAAAATTAAATGATGTCTCTTCAAATTTGAGATATTAAGTGTAAGCTAAAATTAAATTAAACAAATGAAATAATTAAATTTTGCGAAGAAATTAGGTAAAATCATCGTGACAAATTTCATTTGATACAAATATTTTTTTCCAGAAGAAATAGTAATTCATCTCCGCTCGGCTCGGGCTAGATTTGCTAATTAGCGTGACGGCAACTTGCAAATAAATATTTAATGCGGCGACAGCAGCGTACAGTATTTTGTTGCACGAACCGCGGGCACAAATTAAAAGCTCTTGTAACAATCGGTATGCTCAGCCAAATATCGTTTTAATAGCTCGCATTTGATCGGAACGCTATTTCTTCCGATGGCATATGTGAATGCAGAATTTTTAATGAAATTTAAGAATTCATAATTAATGAAATTTAAAAATTCATAAGCCAATCTAAATTGTAAATATTATATGCGTTAAACACAATATAATTTCTAATTTATTACAATTTTATTACAATCTCTTATTTATTTTAAAAATCTCAAGAAGCAAGATATATTATAAAATGATTAAAACACGCCCGCGGTAATAACAGCGCAAGAAGATAAATATCCAAAATAATAATACAAGACTCCAGGCGGAAGGTAAAAGTAAAGTAAAATGTTAACCTAAGTAAATTCTCCTCTCGAGATAAAATATACATACTGCGAAAATTTATGGTAAATTTTGAAGATACCTGAAACAAGGTATTTTCGGGGTACAACAGTATCGCTCGGCATCGCCAAAAATTCGCCCAAAGGCCGATGGCCGAGAAGATCCAAAAAAGCAGCCGCAACATGGCAAACGTGCTGTAGCGCTGGAACGCTGTCGGAAAGCGTGGCTCGTTGCGGGCTGTATTCGATACCCATTCGCCATTCTGTACCCAAGTAATTCGCGCCGGCGAATCGGATCACCGGTCAACGAACCGTGGGCGAACGTCCTCTTGTTACCTGGGACATCGTAGGCATTCGGCGAGTTTGTGGGAATACGATAATGAGCCCCGGAGCCGGATCGCAAACGCGCTATTTGAGCCCGGCAAAACGTGTTCCGATCCGGAATTACGAGCGGCCGGAAACTTTGGCCGTTTCACGGAGACCCGTTACGGGCCCCATATTCTTCCGTGTTATATGTGTTATACATATACGGGAATCTCATTGTTAACATTGCGCATTTCGATATCGCGCAAGCAAGGAGACCGAATCACACCGGCGCCGCTTTTTACGGTAATAAAACCGGAGGGAAATAAAAGGGGAGAGGTGGACGTTTCATTCAAATATTTGCACAAGTGCTACGAATGTATACTATCTTGTTACGAATTATTTCTTCCCGTGCGTTACAAGCCTGTAACATTCCGAAACATGTATTCCCCTAAGAGCGTACACGAGTACGCCGTAAGTGGAACAAGTCGACGTTTCAGCCAACGTCCGAAGAGTGGTCTTTTTTTCATTGAGCGTGCGCGACGAGGGAAAACGAAAATCCACCCCCGCGATCAAACGTAGCGGACGCACGTGCACGTGACGCGCAAAAAGAAAGGGATTTATCCGCACAAAGCACACAATCGTGCATTAAGCCGGCGACGTTGCGGCCGTCGAAGCGCTGGCGACGCCGAACGATTCATCGGCGTATCAGTTTAATCCCGGCAAGCGCGACAGCGCTGTAAATCCAATAATTGCCCGTCTTATCCGTTAAGCAGCTTTAATTAATTCCGTTTCCGTACCGGCGGGATTAACGGCCGAAGTTGAATTAAAATCTCATCTAGAGCAAAAGTCCGGCCCCCGGCCATTACGTTTACTTCGTCTTTCTAATTCCAGTTTCCGGTATCGCATCTGCCTCATTAACGGCGTTAGTTTTACGGTCTGTCGTGTCACCGCGATTACTAACAGTTGTTGCCGTTAAATTGAAAATTTAAATTTTCAAACGTCGCTGTCTGTAATAAAGTTCTTATAATTAAAAGCGATCGGCGGATCTTTTCTCAACGATCGTCGGTAATGTACTTGCGGAATTATAGAGAATCAGGAAACGTGTAATACGAAGAGATATTCGACGTTAATCGGAAATGATGGCGATGGAAATCCCTGATCCGAGAAAACTGCTTCGAGAAAATTGCGCTCGCCGGAACGTCTCGTAGAGGTAAAGCCTCGTTGATTGGAAATGCGCTGTTAAATTGAAACTTGTATCAGATCGATGTTCACTCAAGGGAAATAACAACCGCATCCTTTGTGCTCGGAAATCGGGGACCGTGTCAATTTTAATAATATCGTTTCGCTAAGATAAGATAAATGCCGGCGCCATTGAGCATCTTCGAATGGTATTTATGAATCGATCGCGAGCAAACGAAACGTTTATATACGTCGCAATTACGCATTTTCTTTACAAGATATGCATGTTTTCCTCTATTTCTTTTTAAATCCAAGTTAAAGAAGTACGATACAGTAACGTTTTTAAATAACTGATTTTTTTACATTCTTCGAACGATTAATATTTTATGAGTATGCTATAAAAGAATCTGATGAAATTCGAAATATTTCTTGAATTGTCTAAGTTATAGTAAAACCGCGCCCATCATCGATCACCTAAACCTTCAGCCTAATTTAAGCTCTGTCCAACCCCATGTGTTTAATCTATTCCCTTGACCATGTAGTCAATCGTGTTTGTTTCATTAGTGATTGATTTTCTATAACAAACAACTAAATTTTACAGATAAACAATTAATGCTAAACATATTTATCTTGAAATTTCTTTCACTTTTCTTCAATTGCCAGCGTTTCTAACTAGAATAATTTTTGACTGGTTAGTTTCAAAAATAATTTTACAAAATGAATAGTTTTAGCGTAGAAATTTTTTTTCTTCAACTTTTTCAGTTTTTGAAAACAAAATGTCAAAATCAGTGAAATTTTGAATTTTTTTGAAATCATCAATTATCTTGTAAAAAAATTATTTTAAAAATCCCTAAATTTTTTCGAAATTATATTCATATAATTCCAAAATTTTCAAGAATTTTTCATTTCCGATAATTACAATTTAAGTTCTCTACTACCATGTTTTTTAAACACAGAGGTCTATAATGCTGTGCAATATTATCACACATATATTTATATTTTCACATATAGAGAATTCTTAAAGTCTATTATCCAAAGTCTATTTAATCGATGTAGCAAATAATATTTTTTTCTAAGATTTGTAACTGTCAAAAGAGAAATCTGAAGAAAGGCCTTTTTCAATCTTTATTGTAGCGTACCCTTTGAATTATGGAATTAGAAGAAACATCGATTTTTAACGAAAGGAAAGGAGTTTCACTTCTTCGTTACGACGTTCATCATTTATATAGATATCGCGTGTAAAATCACGGACGAATTGCGAGCTGGAGGATCGAGTTGCGCGCGATGCGAGTACCTGGGTATCCTAGCCGCAATCACCACGGATGTCCATTATACAGATTGCGACGGATGTTTGCGCTAGTTGGACATCCGCAGTTATATACACCGCGCCTGTAATCTCGTCGCGATTCGTTAAGATCTACGAGGCATGAAACATAGTTTACACGCGCGGCGGAATGTCGGTGTCGTCTAACAGCCCCGTGAATTATGAACTACGCGCGCGCGAGGGAGTGCCGTGAATATATATCTGTGCCGAGGATATTCAAACGTCGCCTTTGTGATCAAATAACTGAATGATTCGTGTTAACAAAAAAGTCCGGACACCGCACGGGCATTTCACCGAAAGATTTAATAGAAAATGGGGCAAAGGAACGAGAAACGGTTTTACAGACGTTGTCCGATGTTGCTTCAGAAAACTCGATTTACAAGGATTGATTTTATAGAGGCTACATCACCGCGAGTTATTTCGCGATGTGAATACGAATGCGCGAGCCATTATTTCACGTGTAATTCGCTGCTCGTAAAAGTTATACGAGTCGTTCAATATTTTCATCTGGTTCTCTCCTCGTTACGAGGAGGATACATCGGTCAACACTTATTATCGTTGCGCTATTTAGCTTGCGCCTTTATGTGCCGTAACATACGTGCGATATGCAAAGCCCTTCAAAATGAGTTGGGCGGACGACAGGCAACAACTTCGTTTCGGTAACCAACCCCCTTTGTAGACGCGAAAAACGTGCAATATACATTCCGCCGCTTGCCTGCCCGTGCGAACCGCCGGACGAAATGGCGAGGGAAAGTTAACCGAGTAAAAGGGATAAGCAATATCCCTTTATATTCGTCCGCTTCCTTTATCCGCCACCGGACGGAAAGACACGCCGGAAACAGAGATTGCACGACCAGCTGAAAATTCCTCCTATAATTGATTTTGCAGAAGATGATGGTGACGCTTGAAAAAGAAAAAGGGCAGTTTGCGTTGACTCGCCTTTGATAAACTCAAACTGAGATCACGTCACTCGGGATCTGTCTCTTTCTTTACAGTCGCATATGTAACCGATTTATAATATACCTGATATACAACGCACATGCAACATGCAATTACGTAAATAAAATAAAATCTTAGATGTTTAATTTTTAATTCTAGTTCAATAAACGTAATAATCTCACAATAAATTATACATAATAGATACAGATTCTCGATTTTTTATCATAATCGTTATTTTTTTAATTTATTGTCTTATAAATGCAACAGAAGAAGAGAAAGAAGAATTGGATCGTATTGATTTAAAATTTTTTTATTTAATGGACAAGCATTATATTTGATTTATAAAAAGGAGTAACTGATCAATATGATAAAACTTCGCAATACACTATCAATTTAGTAATGAGATAATTTATTATTCGTTCACGGATAAATAAAGCAGGAAGCTCTCCAATATTGAATCGTACTATTGGATATCGACTATCAATTAACTGTAAAGTATTTTTCCAATATTATAAATCTAATACACACACACACACACACACACACACACACACACACACACACACACACACACACACACACACACACACACACACACACACACACTATTCC